TGGTAGAAAATTACAACACGTGTTACAAGTAATGCTTTCTCTAATTACACATCTTGAATATTCTTTAAGAAAAAGCGCATCTTAATTGCTAAATGATATTAAAAATATTTAGTTTCAAATATTGTAAAAAAGACAAAAGATATTTATTGTTTGAGAACAGAAAATAAATTTTGTTAAGGTACACAAGGACACTTAAAAGACAAACCCATTAATGTCAAGATGTAATATTTTTTTGTAATGAAGAAACATTCTCATTAAATGCAACTGTTTTTAGTCAAAACTATCACTTGTTGATACGGTGATATGGCAAATCCAGGTATTACCTGGAATTTAATACCTGAATTAAATTCTCCCGATTAAATGCTTGACACTTGTCTACACTAGCGAGAAAAAAAATCGAATCAAAAGTAAAATTAGAGATATTTTTGACTACTCTGTTTTGCTAGTGTATATCCACATATATGTAAAATTAAAAGTAAAATATCATAAACAGAAGTAATTTTTATTGCAATAACACCAATATTTATAAAGTTAGGAAGTAAAGAACATAACAAATATAACTTAATGAAAGTCATTATGTATTAAATATAAAAGTAAAATAACATAAAAAGTTTCTAACTGATTCCTGAGGATTCGCTTCCCACTCTTCATCTAATGCAGTTTTTAGCTCCGCCACTGTCGCTGGTGCTGGATTACGGACCCAAACCCTGCATCTAAGTTTATTTCATAGGGACTTGATGGGATTCATATGCGGGCTCAATGAAGGCAAGTCCAAGGTTGTTATATTAGGGTTGGTCAGGTTTTCTTTCGTAATACGCGATGTGTGACAATGAGGATTATCATGCATTAGCATGAAGCTATCTCCTATGTAGCCGACGTAAGGAACAACATGCCCTTAAGAGATATCTGTAATATAGCGATCCGCTTTCAAACCCCCTCTGCAACCATTACTGGGTACGAACACAAGCTCTGTTTTTCCTTCTTAATATAAACCACCAAAAAAAAATACACGAAACACCTCGATACCTCAGTGTTTCGACATTGCAGTTCTAAATAAGTCGTTTTACGGGCCTTCGATAGACGCGTCATCTTCTGTCATTGTTATACAGGCATATTCGAATTTCATCAAAGAATAAAACTCTGCTCCATTAGCCAAGATTCCAGTTGACGTGTTCTTAGGCAAACTGAAGTCGAGTTTGTTTCTGATGTGCGTTTAATTTGGACCCTGTGTTAGCTCATCTGGGAGTGAAAGTGGCAGCCTTAAGTCTTCTCTTCACTGTCAACTGAGTGACGGTGACACCCCGTAAATTTCACAAGGATGGTTGCTCAACTCCTGTCGCGTGCCGATTCCGCAAGACCCTCAGGAGAATAAATCGATCGTCCCTCTGTCGTTACATATCAGCGACTTAAACCTGGTCATCAACTGTAGCTACTAATCTCCTGGTATTAACGGTAAGTCCTTAAGACTGCAGACTGCATCGTAAGTAGGCGACCGCGGTCATTCCTCTGACTATAGCCCTCTCGTAATAATGTAATTATCTGAGCTGCCTTCTCTGATGAGAAGGTAGCATCATCAGCTTGTGAACTGTACCAAGATTATATTAATTATACAGAAGGAGCCGAAAACAATCAAAGAAACCAGAGGCAGTCTTCACGGTATGATTTGTATTAAACAGTATGGCATAAAAATTAAATGGATAGTTTTGATTAATTCCAAGCGAATATTGTTAAAACCATCGAGCAAGAAGACAAAAGAGGGAATGTAAAGGTAGTGGGGGCAAAAATATTGTTAGACAGGAAGTGCGATCTTTAGAGGCCACATTAAACAAGGAGAGAGAGTCTCTCTCCTTGTTTGACATCAAATTTAGTTGGGTTATGTTATTGTTTGTCCTAAATATCAGATGAAATCTTATTTATATTTAAGTTTTTTAACAATTGTGTCGCATTTTAGACTATTACCGTTAATAATTAATTAAAACTTTCTCGTCTAAGACACATTCTGAAAAATATTATATAGCTACTGTTAATAAGTGCCGGAAAATTTAAATTTGGCGCATTCGCATTTCCGGATATATCCGCCATCAGAGGCCACTTTTTTGGTCTCCTTTTCATAAGGATTAGATTCCCTCTTTTGTCTTTTTGCTCGATGGTTAAAACACATACATATAATATATGTATTGTTCTGAAGCTGTTTTTTTGTGGCATTTTCAATTAATTACTATTTAGCTGGGAATAAGCCACAATTAAAGATAAAAATACGTTTATTGGCAAACAGTAAATTAAAAGAATTGAAAGAATTTACTGTTTGTATTTTGAGAATGATTTCCGAAGTGGAAATTAAAACGTCAATAAACGTATTTTTATCTTTAATTGTGGTTTATTCCCAGCTAAATAGTAATTATTAATATATGTAGTTCATTCGGAAGAAGATAGTTACAACGCAAAATGTTAAAGTTTTTTTTTTTCATTGAATCAATAGCTTCGAAATAATGTATTGTACTTTAGAAAAAATAGTTACATGTGTAAGTACACTAGTTTCCGAGAGATGGTAGATGCAACTCTTTGTATTTCCCCTAATTGAACGAGCTGGCTATGACAAATAAGGTTATATTTCAGTATGTATTTGACCTTTCTCAACTGACCGTTATTCGCTTTAGAGAATACAATTATATTTTGAATTGTATTTAATGGCATAGACATTAGTCATTTAACCAAATATCTTAAAATATAATACATAGACGAGTTAATTTAATTATGTGTTTGAATCCATTTTTCTCAAAGGTAAGATTATTTGTATAAAGTCCGTCCCAAACCCTTCTTTCAGTGCGTCATAGTTGATCGAATTCTCTCTAACGCATCACAGTGGTCTGTGTAACGCATTAAGCTATAAGTGACATAAAAAACGTGAGTCTGTGATTATTATATATAGAACTTAGAAAATTATGTATAGTTCACGGGTGTTTGCATATTAAAGCGAATTCTACTTAAGGATGTATAATTTATTAGAATTAATTAAGTAATTAGATTAATTAGAATACGCTAAATAAATATCCAATCAATGATGCGCATAAATAGAATTTGACGCAAATGGTCTCGATCGTGACAGTACCTACTTTCACGATGTCATCTGATAAAATAAAAGAAAATAATAATTGTCATTCCAGGTTATTATTTTTAGGATTTTCAGGTGTTCACAGTCAAAATTTAATTTTGTATTTATTGTCATAAAAATATTTTAAATATGTCGAGATATAACGAGAAAAAACAAAGACTAATATTAAAATTACTAAATTATTTTCAATTAGAATAAAAGGCTCGGACAACTTTATTACCAGTTTCTGCCGTTCGTGAAGTATGCTTTAAATTATTAAAAAGAATATTAATAGTATTTTAAATTGTATATATTTTAGCGCGTTGCCGAGGCATTAGGAGTGTCGTTACCAAAAGTAAGACGATTGGCAAATGAACATATTCAAACAGATGCTAGCTGTTCTGTGGCAATAAGTACTTCAGTATGTGATCATCTAGGACCTTCATTAACCAATAAATATGTTATTACAACATGTTATCAGAACTCGTGTATACAGAATGTTTAATGAAGCTTTGTATCAAAATATAGTTTGCCATAGCTTACTGAAATATCACTATTGTCTTTACATTTTTTCTTATTCATTTTAGGCCAACATGTTACTCTTCATACCTTTCAAGATTCTCTACTTGTTCACTGCGTAGGGTTTTAAAAGATATGAAATTCAGATGGTTAAACTGCAATATATTAAATCGAAAATACCTAATGGAACAATCACAATACATATTGTGAATTCAGGAATGTTATTGAGGAAATATCTTAAACTATTAAGGGTATGGATATTTATATGCATTAAAAGGGTTCTTTTTAAAACCATGATATTTCTTTGAAATGTAAGATATAATTGATGCTATTTTATCTGCATACTGGAACTGGTAGATTAACTCAACTGCTTTATTATTTAAACTATTTATATTGTATTTTTGACTAAACGTAATAACACTCTTTCATTTGCACACCAAATCTGGTAGAATAACTCAAAAATTAACTGTTTTACTAGTTAAACTATTTCCACGATTTAATGATAAATTTTCAAAAAAAATAAACTATTGGCTGTCACACAAACTTATAGGAAAATTACTAATCCGAATATGACTTCAATCGATGATATTTTATCACAGGAATGTTTGCCTCGATGCCTTGCAATTGCCAGTAAAATTTTTTATCTTGCAGTCAACTCTTAAAAGATTCTAGGAGGAAGCGTAATTTTAAATAAACAAACATTTCAATTTCATAGTGTGTGTAATAAATAATAATAATAAATCCATAAATATATCTTGAGTAATAAAGCACTTTCCTTGGAATGTAAAGAATAGGAATTATGACAAAGTGCCTTTCCAATATAATGCGTAATAAAAATTTATATACAGGATGAAACTTGTAATATGTAAACTAAAAAAAATCGAATTGTTAAAGATTTTCAAAACTTTAACAATTCAAATTTGACGCACTGAAAGAAAGATTTGGGACAGACTACATATATTTTGGTATATATAGTATAAGTAAAGATATACCCACTTTTGTTAAAATTATCTCACTAAAAGTGAATAGTATATTCTGATAGAAGATTATTTTTGTAGATGTAACTTTTTTAGAAGGAATTTTTTTTGGATAATATGTCTTAAAAAAAAAGCAATATAGTGTGCGTAAAAACTAGTTTTGCGAAATATAACCTTAATTTTTAAAGTTATATTGTTTTATTTATATTATCTTTTTTATTGGATAAATTAATATAACTTAAACGGTAGTATTATTTTAGGATTAATTTAATTAACGCTTTAACAGACAGTAATGCTTAATAACAGCCCTACAAATCGCATTTTTGCAAATCTTGAGAATTTTTAAGATTTTCGTGGCATTTATACTAGAATTAGATAATTCTGACAACTCTTTTAAAGATGCACAAAATATAATGTATGATAAAAGTAACACAGAAAATACTACGAAAACAACACCAACAACAAATTGGGTGATTAAATATTTTCCAAAAAAAAATTCAGAAAATTGTGCTGTTGGTAAGATCTTATTTATACCGAAAAAATACAAATTTTTTGTAATTACGTTATTATTTTAGATTTTATTAATAATAAAGACGCATCTGAAAAAATCTTCAGTAGCCCTATTTTGACAAATGATGACACACGTGGCAATGGAAATAATAATTTGTTGGGTAAGATAAAATAAAATGATACTCTGCTTTAAACTTACTTAAATTGTTATAAATAATTGGTATTATTCTTATTTTTAGAAACTGAATTACCTAAAAAAACTATGGATGAAGGAACTTCATCTTCAACAGTGACTCGTCCGCAAGCAGTGCCTTATCCTCAAGCAGTAATTCAACTTCAGATACAGACAAGAGTTCACTACATTCTAAACCAGATCCTTATGAATCAGATAACAGCATCATAGATCCTTTTTATAATCCACCTTTCGCTATAAGACAAGTTACAATACCAACAGATAATGCAATTAAAAATCCTTCAAACACTAAAAAGTTAAGTAGGAAGAAACTTCGGCAGCCTGCAATGTGGCAACAAGCAAACACAAGGAGATGGCGAAATAGTGGAGAAACCTATGTATCTATCTGTTAAAAATGTAGACCGCATAAAAGCTAAATCCAAAATAATATGGCCAGCTAAAATACTTTTGCCACCCTGCGAAATAAATGTAAGTTAAAGTGTTGAAAAATTAGATGAAGCACAGAGAACCAAAATTTTTAAAGAATAATAAAATCTGAATGACCTTGAAAAGAGAATTTATTTCTTCCAATTTGAAAGATGTGCACCACGTTACAGATATTCGAATAAAGAAGAGCCTAGAAAACCAAATACCACATACTATTTTTTAACTGATGGACAGCAAATGAGGGTGTGTGTTATTTTACGGCAACGCTATAAACAGAAAAAAATAAGTAGGATCTTAAAAAATTCAATTAGAACTCACATTAATTCTATCCCCAGGAAAGAATTATTGGCGGATTCATACAGAGACTACGTGGAGATATATAAAGGGCATAATATTTCTAAGGGGAACTATCTTATGTACTTTAAGATCTTTAATAAAGAGTTTAATCTAGCTTTTATCCGGCTAAAAAGATCAATGTGAAGAGGGCTTACACTATGACAGAGAAACAAAAGTATCTTTTCAAGAAAAAATTGATAAACATTCAACAGAAAAAGAATTATCAAAAAAAAAGGTATTGGTACAAATAGTGATAGTGATAGAGTCCAAGCTATGATAGAAAAACAGATAAAAGAATATAAAAAATCAAGTTCAATATACATACCTGACCAATATGGATGCATTATTTGAACAGCTAAAAAAACTGGGAGTTCATATAACGTACATAAAATAGGTTTTAATGACGTGTTTGATCTTAAAGCTTTGTGTGCAGACTTATCTCTTAGTATTCCCAAAGATGTTAAACTATCTGGTGTGAGGATTTTGATGTTAGATCATAACAATTCTACTATTCTTTATTATAAATTATCTTTTAATTAAGGAGAATATAATCAAGTGATCATTGTGCGTTCTTAGTGAAGTTAATATCAATAATATTGCTTTAAGGAAAGCGTTTACAAACAAATTGTTGTTTTTAATAGAAAAAGAAGTGATTAGTTCCTAAACACTGTTTAAGTTTTTAACATAAAGTAGTACAACTAATAAAGTAGTATTTATGTCAAGGATGCTTTGCAAGATGATCTTCATAGGGTGTGATCCCAGTCTAAACGTTGATTGTTTGATAATATAAAACAAATAATATCTCATATTTTATAACTGGTCTGCAGATATCCCATTCTGTTTTCAGTAACATATAAATATTAAATTGATAATAGTAAAATAGATAATCCTGATGTTGAATTCATTTTTCGTATTCTAAAGTAGAAGCAGCTTATTGAAATTATGGGTGAATACACACTGGACTAGCGTAAAGGTCAAAGTGCATGAAGAAATTACTTCTGTTTAAATATAACAAATTGGTGAAGTTACGTCTTTTTAATTGTAAGAGTTTCGCAATTTTGCAAATATTACAGGTTGTAGTCCAAAATATAAACTATCAGTAAATAAAACGTACGATTCTGATTGCAGGTTTAGATGAAATTCTCATTAATTTGAAGTATTTTATTTTTTTTTAAACACGCCGATGAGTAAATGGCTTAAGACTAAAAAATTTAAAAACCAAAACTGTTCCTGTCCAGCCTTTATAAAATATTGGTTAGTGGAGTATTTTCTATTTATAAACAGGTTTTAATTTTTATTACATTATTAAATTTTTATTTATAAATGTTTATCAAACAGATCTTCACAAATAATTAGTATAAAATAGTAATTATAAAACATAATTCATCCTTACATTTTTCTACCTGTAGCGCAATTGAGCGACGGTTTAACCCGGGAGTCTGTAGTGTAGTCGGTCACCGGAGTAATGACACCGGGATTCGACAGGTTGTTTTGGGATACCGCGTGAGCGCGCTTCCTGCAGAACTAATTCACCCCCTTTGAAGGCAAAAGACCGGAGAGCACTGGCCCAGACGACAGCCCACGGGCCGGGCGTCGTAGACTCGCGCATGTACAGACAACACTCAATCTCCGGGATGCTCTATGGCTCTATACTACACACGCACCGGCATGGCACGGAACGGCATGGAAAGCAGTCACGGTGCCGGCAACGACGAGGGTACAGGTGCAACACGCTTTCGCACCCTTGCTACACAAGGTAGATACATCTGTTATTAGCTGCGGTCAATGAGCTCCATTATACTGCGCCCTACATCAGCTGACAAACTTTTTATTGAATTAGAGTCCCCAATTTGGTGGCAACTTTTTTACTTTATCCAATTACTTTTTTAAAGATTTTGTAGTCAATTGAAATAATTTTTTCAGTTTTCATACAGATATTTTTGATACGCCAAAATATTTATTAGTATAAAAAATATTTTCTTTATCTTCGCTAAAATAAAATTTAGAAAAAGATAATTTTGTTATATAAGACAAATACATGGTTTAAATTACACCCTCGCAGATTGTACACTTGGACTTCACCAGAACACAATGAAAACAGAGTAATCCGTATCCAAATAGATTACATATTGGTCAACAAAAGATATCACAATGCAATCATCAGTGCAAAAACATATCCTGGAACTGACAACAATTCCGATCATAATCCTGTTGTTGCAAAAGTTTGCGCAAGATGGAAACTAATAAAGAAACAAAAACCTCAACACCAACTATTAGACATCCAATTATTGAAAAATGACACCATACATCAGACAGTAAATAAAGAATTAAACAAAAGTTTAGGAAATATCGACCACAATAGAATTAGCGAGTACGATGACATAAACGTTCTGTGGAAAACTATTAAAGAACAAATGAACAATGTAACACATCTAAAAGTAACACCTAGAAATAACAAACAGGAATGGATGACAGAAGAGATTTTACAATTAATAAACAAACGAAGAGAATCTAAAGGAAAAAATGACAAGGACGAAGAATACAAAAGACTAAATAGAATAATTCGAAAAAGAAATAACCGAAGCAAAAGAGAAATGGCTGGAAACAAAATGCGTTGAAATAGAAGAACTGCAACAAAGGCACAATTTTTTTAATTTACATAAAAAGGTAAAAGAATTTACATCGATTACTAAGGGAACGACTTTTCACACCATGCTGAACACGGATGGCAAACTGCTAGAATCAACGGAAGATAAACTGAAAGAATGGGAAAACTATATTAAAATTCTTTTTCACGACATACGAGACGAACTAAGATTGGAAAATAACAACGAAGGGCCAACAATTCTAAAATCTGAAATCATAAATGCGTTTAATCATCTCAAAACAAATAAAAGCCCAGGTCCAGACGGAATATACCTACCCAGAAACGTTAAAATTAATCAGCGAAGAAAATATCGAAATATTTGTCCTTTTATTCAATCGCATTTATGATACAAACCCACAATACTGCAATAGTACACAATCGTATCTATAGAAAGTGCGAAACAATCATCGGAGACGATCAGTTTGGATTCAGAGCCGGCATGGGAACGAGAGAAGCCCTGTTCAGTTTACTAATTCTCGTCCAAAAATGCTACGACCAACAGAAAGATATATTTATATGCTTTATAGACTTCGAAAAAGCATTTGATAGAGTAAGAGACGATCTACTATTAGAACGTTTGCAAGAAGTCGGTTTCGATGGAAAAGACATCAAATTCTTAAAAAACTTGTACTGGAACCAAAACGCCAGAGTTAGGATCAAAGGTTCCACATCCGCAGAAGTAGAAATTAGGAGGGGAGTTAGACAAGGATGTGTTCTGTCGCCTCTGCTCTTTAATCTTTACTCCGAGTTTCTATTTAAAGAAGCATTGGAGGATTCCAAGGATGGAGTCAATGTGAATGGCGTAAATATCAACAGTATTAGATACGCCGATAATACAGTGTTAATTGCGGATTCCGACTTAGGTCTACAACGACTCATCGACAAGACCAACTCGACCTGTAATCAATTTGGTATGAAAATATACATTAAAAAAACCAAAGTAATGTCAATCCGAAAAAACCAAAACGTATCTCAACCTTACACAATAAATGGGCACATTTTAGAACAGGTCAATCGATTTGAGTACCTGGGATGTTGGATTGATAGTAGCCTAAATCCTGATCTAGAATAGAACAGGCCAGAAAATCTTACGAAAAAATAAAAAAACTGCTTTGTGGTTCTCGAATAAAACTCGAAATTCGACTACGTTTATCAAAATGCTACGTCTGGTCGACTCTTCGATATGCAGTTGAAACGTGGACCCTTAAAACATCAACCGTAAATAAATTAGAGGCCTTATAAGTACCAATATGCCCAACTTATAGTGAAAGGGAAAATCGAAAGACAGAGAGGCCTAGGAAGGAAAAGACTATCGTGGCTCAGAAACATGACAATGTTTCAGGCTAAATGGACAGGGCTAAATTTTGAACAGCTAATAAGAACAGCTGAAGATAGAAAAGAGTTTAAAATTGTAGTAGCCAACCGCCATTGAGAAGAGGGCACTTTAAGAAGCAGAAGAATTTTGTTATACTTTTTCTATAAACTTGATCGTTTTTGTAAATAATTTAAAACTGAAAAAAATGCAAAACTTGGATTTTCGAGGCAAAAAACAAATGTAAAATACATTATTTTTAAATTCATCAAGTACCTTAATTCAAGTTCAAAGCTAGTTCTATTATTTCCTAATAAAACAATGTTTTTTAATCATTACTGAAGCGCTTATGACATGACGGGCGCTCGGGTTGCGCCCTTCCTGTCATACACTCTTTACTATCAATTAAAAAACAATGGTTTAATAGATGTATAGGGGAGATACTGGTACAGTGGCCACCTTTCGATTAAATTCAAGATAACTTTAATA